ACAGAAGATCTGTTCAAACTGTTATTTAGCCATTTCAGAATGTCCCCTGAATGTCAGCGGCCCTGTCCTTTATCTATAATATATATATTATATAAACGTGTGATATTGAAGCAATTACAGCTACTCAGAAACATAGCTACTGTATGTGCGCTGCACATGGTACAAATAATGGTTATCTTATCTAAAAGCTGAAAGAATTGGCTTATTTATCACTGAACAGCCATAAATTCATTTCTAATTAGATCTTTATTGTAATTAACATGATATAAAGAAGGAAACTTATTACAAAAACAAACGTATTAGAAAAACCAAAAACATTTCAAACACTAAACTAAACCATGTGGATCAGCTCTGTGCTTCATAGCGGCGGGTCCATCAAAGTCTCTAGGGTCCTGGTCTGGGGACTCAGCTCTGGTCAGCTCCTGGTCCTGGTCTCTCCTCTCTTGTCCTGGTCCTGGTCCGGTCTCACAGCACCGGTTTGGGCTGCTGTGTGAGCAGGAGGCCAAAGCGTCTCTTCAGGGTGACTCTGTGTCTGGAGAACTTGTCGTCAGGAGAGAACCGAGCCGGATGAGCCGAGCTGGTGGGCTGCCCCTCCGGAGTCACCTTCTGCAGGACACACCAAAGGATTAAAGCTCGGGTACACGACTTTCTAACAACAGATATATTAACATCTGTGTCACTAAAAACACTTTACATCAGATTTGCAGATTTACAAGAACTGCTGAGTCTGTTCGTCACTGATAATAATTCACTAGTCACTTTACTGTTGATATTACTGATGTTTATTCTCTGCTGCTAAAGTACAACACGTCTGTAAATACTCCTGAACCACATGACGTTATAGCTCCAGAGTTTATTTTATTCTTATTTTGATTATATTGTCTATTATCTTAAATCAGACTTTTTGATGTGTGCGTCTGAGTCTTGTTTCCTTCTTTCTCTGCTTAATGTGCAACGATAAATAGAATATCTTATTTTTCAGACAGAAAAGTGTAAAGACATGACCACACTCAGTCAGCTCAAAAAGTCAAACAGTGACTCGCAGGGCTCATGCCACAGGTACAGTTTCAAATAAGAAAGTATGTAACGGTCGGATTTATTTTGTAGATTTAGAAAAAAAATGTCTATTAAAGTTAGAGACCACAGCTCTAACTGAGAAACTAGTGTTAAACATGTTTATTGTGTAGATATGAAACTAGATTTATAGGATAATCACAGATCATTAAATTTATTGCATTGAGTTCAGAACAATTCAAAGCTACTTCAATGATTTAATAATATGTTACAACACATGCAAGACTTATCTCACAGTTGGTCGACTGCAAACAATAAAAAACGAAGTACTTCTCATGAGAAAGTGTTTTATGGAATCCTACTCTTCATTAATGATTTAATATGTGCATTTACATAACATCTCCGGACAACTCAGTACACAGACTAACTTCACTGTACATTACAGTCTATAGTCACGTCCATGTGATGCAGAACAGCAGCTCGGGAGCTAACAGCTAACAGCTAACTAGCCAGACTCGTACCTTGAGCGTGTAAACCCGATCTCCGCTCTCGTCCAGATAAAACTGCAGAAACATGTTGACCCGAAGTCTTTCTGGTTCTTTCCGAAGCGCAGAAAGTTTCAACGTTGAGACTTTAAGCCAAAAAACTGCGGAACAAAAAGCAGCGGCGTGTTTTCTCTTCACACGTGAAAGAGACTGAGCCGACCGGATATCCGGGTGTGAGGCTGCTTCCGCATCCGAAATCACACACACCTCCTTCCTTATGCTTCCTTCTCAGTTTTTTATGATGTACACTGCGTCCATTATTACTTTATTTCTCATTAATGACACATTTCATTACTTTTAAAAGTATTTTATTAAACATAAATCTCTTATAAAAAGGAAAAATACATAGAGAGGTATCACGTTTGATTTCAGATGCAGCCTACGTATTTTCCCAACACAAACACGAGCAGAAACTTTGGTGAAAGTCTTTTTTTTAATTGATTATCGCAGTGATACAACTTTTACGTACATATATTGAAATCTGCTACAGTTTTATATTGTTAAAAATAACCATAGTAATTTTAGAATGCATTTGTGGGGAGATATGACGACCAATGCGTGTTTGTGTTTAAAAACTGCACCTGAGCGCTACTTTGCACCGGAGGAGAGCGCATCTCAACGAGACAGAAAAACTCATCTGAAAAGGTAAGTGTCTACAAATGTGTTGTCTGTAAACACTGTGTCAAAGCTGTTTGTATTGATGTCTTATGAATCAGATTAAATTAAAATACAATTAAATACATATTTGTTTATCCCAGCAGAAATAGTCAATAGAAAGTCAGTTTTTCTGAACAAGTCGGACCTAAACATCATCTTAGGAACCTCAGCTTTAAATGTCTTGTGTTTTATAAAAATAGCTTTGTTAGAATGATTCATATTGATACATAATTAAATGCTGATATATTGGTGTGGCTTTTCTATCCAGTCTCTTCACTTTCTCACAATCTACAGATTATATGTAGCTTCCTTTTATGTATAAACTGTAATTATTGGTCTATAAACACGACAGTGAATATGTCTAGTTTTACAGCAAGTCATGTTAAAGCTGGGCTACGTAACTTTCAAACCACAACATTAGAACTCTCATATAATCCATGTCTCTATCACATGTTTATGTTTGGAATCAGACAGAAGTGGCCTCTCTCTGGTCTCTCTCTGGTCTCTCTCTGGTCTCTCTCTGCTCTCTCTCTGCTCTCTCTGCTCTCTCTCTCTGGTCTCTCTCTGGTCTCTCTCTCTCTGGTCTCTCTCTGGTCTCTCTCTGGTCTCTCTCTCTGCTCTCTCTCTGGTCTCTCTCTCTGGTCTCTCTCTGGTCTCTCTCTCTGCTCTCTCTCTGGTCTCTCTCTAGTCTCTCTCTGCTCTCTCTCTGGTCTCTCTCTGGTCTCTCTCTGCTCTCTCTCTGCTCTCTCTCTGGTCTCTCTCTGGTCTCTCTCTGGTCTCTCTCTCTGGTCTCTCTCTGGTCTCTCCCTGGTCTCTCTCTGGTCTCTCTCTCTGGTCTCTCTCTGGTCTCTCTCTGCTCTCTCTCTCTCTGGTCTCTCTCTGGTCTCTCTCTCTCTCTGGTCTCTCTCTCTCTCTCTGGTCTCTCTCTCTCTCTCTCTGGTCTCTCTCTGGTCTCTCTCTCTCTGGTCTCTCTCTGGTCTCTCTCTGGTCTCTCTCTGGTCTCTCTCTGGTCTCTCTCTCTGCTCTCTCTCTGGTCTCTCTCTCTGGTCTCTCTCTGGTCTCTCTCTCTGCTCTCTCTCTGCTCTCTCTCTGGTCTCTCTCTGGTCTCTCTCTGGTCTCTCTCTCTGGTCTCTCTCTGGTCTCTCCCTGGTCTCTCTCTGGTCTCTCTCTCTGGTATCTCTCTCTGGTCTCTCTCTGGTCTCTCTCTCTGGTCTCTCTCTCTGGTCTCTCTCTGGTCTCTCTCTCTGGTCTCTCTCTCTCTGGTCTCTCTCTCTGCTCTCTCTCAGGTCTCTCTCCGGTCTCTCTCTGGTCTCTCTCTGGTCTCTCTCTGGTCTCTCTCTGGTCTCTCTCTCTGGTCTCTCTCTGGTCTCTCCCTGGTCTCTCTCTGGTCTCTCTCTGCTCTCTCTCTGCTCTCTCTCTGCTCTCTCTCTGGTCTCTCTCTGGTCTCTCTCTGGTCTCTCTCTCTGGTCTCTCTCTGGTCTCTCCCTGGTCTCTCTCTGGTCTCTCTCTGGTCTCTCTCTCTCTGGTCTCTCTCTCTCTGGTCTCTCTCTGGTCTCTCTCTGGTCTCTCTCTGGTCTCTCTCTCTGGTCTCTCTCTGGTCTCTCCCTGGTCTCTCTCTGGTCTCTCTCTGGTCTCTCTCTGCTCTCTCTCTGCTCTCTCTCTGGTCTCTCTCTCTTGTCTCTCTCTGGTCTCTCTCTGGTCACTCTCTGGTCTTTCTCTGGTCTCTCTCTGGTCTCTCTCTGGTCTCTCTCTCTGGTCTCTCTCTGGTCTCTCCCTGGTCTCTCTCTGGTCTCTCTCTGGTCTCTCTCTGGTCTCTCTCTCTCTGGTCTCTCTCTCTCTGGTCTCTCTCTCAGGTCTCTCTCTCAGGTCTCTCTCTGGTCTCTCTCTGGTCTCTCTCTGGTCTCTCTCTGCTCTCTCTCTGGTATCTCTCTGGTCTCTCTCTGGTCACTCTCTGGTCTCTCTCTGGTCTCTCTCTGGTCTCTCTCTGGTCTCTCTCTCTGGTCTCTCTCTGGTCTCTCTCTGGTCTCTCTCTGGTCTCTCTCTCTGGTCTCTCTCTGGTCTCTCTCTGGTCTTTCTCTGGTCACTCTCTGGTCTCTCTCTGGTCTCTCTCTGGTCTCTCTCTGGTCTCTCTCTGGTCTCTGGTCACTCTCTGGTCTCTCTCTGGTCTCTCTCTGGTCTCTCTCTGGTCTCTCTCTCTGGTCTCTCTCTGGTCTCTCTCTGGTCTCTCTCTGGTCTCTCTCTCTGGTCTCTCTCTGGTCTCTCTCTGGTCTCTCTCTGGTCTCTCTCTCTGGTCTCTCTCTGGTCTCTCTCTGGTCTCTCTCTGGTCTCTCTCTGGTCTTTCTCTGGTCACTCTCTCTGGTCTCTCTCTGGTCTCTCTCTGGTCTCTCTCTGGTCTCTCTCTGGTCTCTGGTCACTCTCTGGTCTCTCTCTGGTCTCTCTCTGGTCTCTCTCTGGTCTCTGGTCACTCTCTGGTCTCTCTCTGGTCACTCTCTGGTCTCTCTCTAGTCTCTCTCTGGTCTCTCTCTGGTCTCTCTCTGGTCTCTCTCTGGTCTCTCTCTCTGGTCTCTCTCTGGTCTCTCTCTGGTCTCTCTCTGGTCTCTCTCTCTGGTCTCTCTCTGGTCTCTCTCTGGTCTCTCTCTGGTCTCTCTCTCTGGTCTCTCTTCTCTCTCTGGTCTCTCTCTGGTCTCTCTCTGGTCTCTCTCTGGTCTCTCTCTGGTCTCTCCCAGAAAAGATCTTTATATGAAAGAAGTGACGCATTATTCTTCGTCCACAGAAGCAGTGACCATGAACCCTGTTGAGTGGTTTCCTTTCTGCCTCTACGACCCTGGAATCCAACCCATGGTGAACGAGATTGGATCTTGGATCTGTCCTCCTCCTCATCATCATCATCATCATCATCATCATCATCCTCATCATGCTGCTTTCAACGCGGTTCAGGCCTTTTCTCAGTGTCCTGCTGCGGTGGGCCCTGGACCGGACTGGCTCTGTCCCACTGGGGTCCACCCTAGATCGGACTGGGTCTGTCCCCCTTTTTTGAACCCTGGACTGGACTGGGTCTGTCCCCCTGGTTTGGACCCTGGACTCAGCTGTGTCTGTCCCCCTGGGGTGCCCCTGGACCCCCGCCCACTCCCCATCTCCGCCGTCAGAGAAACTGTCGTCCGTCCGTGAGTAAAAAGCAACACAACATGAAAAACATCTGAACAGTTTAGACTCAGATCATCAAACACAATGTAGCTTCTGTGGCATCCTCCTCTTCCTCCTCCTCCTCTTCCTCTTCATCCTCCTCATCCTCTTCCTCCTCTTCCTCATCCTCCTCTTCCTCATCCTCCTCCTCCTCTTCCTTTTCCTCCTCCTCCTCCTTTTCTTCCTCCTCCACTTTCTCTTCCTCCCCCTCATACTCCTCTTCTTCCCCCTCTTCCTCCTTCACTTCCTCCTCCTCTTCCTCCTCCTCCTCCACTTCCTCTTCCTCCTCTTCCTCCTCCTCTTCCTCCTGCTCCTCCACTTCCTCTTCCTCCTCCTCCTCCACTTCCTCCTCTTCCTTCTCCTCCTCCACTTCCTCCTCCACTTCCGCCTCTTCCTTCTCCTCCTCCACTTCCTCCTCCACTTCTTCCTCTTGCTTCTCCTCCTCCACTTCCTATTCTCCTCTTCCTCCTCCACTTCCTCTTCCTCCTCCTCCTTCTCTTCATCCTCTTCCACCTTTCAATTCAATAACTAAACTAAAAAAGTAAAAAGTAAGTGATAAAATTGTTATCGTGCTTTTATATTTCATTTGTCGAAGTGTTTTTGTAGCAAAAGTTTGACTCTGACGTAACGACATCATTAATCTGGAGAGTGGATGAACTCGACAGAGAAGAAGAGCTCACTGACGCTTTGTTTCAGGGCCGTGGAGACTGTGGGCGTCAGGACCAACACTGAAGGTGAGAGAGCCCGCCCCCTCTGTCTCATCACTCTGATTTCAAACTCAGTACTGGTCTCTCTCTGGTCTCTCTGGTATCTCTCTCCCTGGTCTCTCTCTCTCTGGTCTCTCTCTCTGGTCTCTCTCTGGTCTCTCTCTCTCTCTGCTCTCTCTCTGGTTTCTCTCTCTCTCTGGTCTCTCTCTGGTCTCTCGCTGGCCTCTCTCTCTGGTCTCTCTCTCTCTGGTCTCTCTCTCTCTGGCCTCTCTCTCTGGTCTCTCTCTGGTCTCTGGCCTCTCTCTGGTCTCTCTCTGGTCTCTCTGGTCTCTCGTTGGCCTCTCTCTGGTCTCTCTCTGGTCTCTCTCTGGCCTCTCTCTGGCCTCTCTCTGGTCTCTCTGGTCTCTCTCTGGCCTCTCTCTGGTCTCTCTGGTCTCTCTCTGGCCTCTCTCTGGTCTCTCTCTCTCTGGTCTCTCTCTGGTCTCTCTCTGGCCTCTCTCTGGTCTCTCTCTCTCTGGTCTCTCTCTGGTCTCTCTCTGGCCTCTCTCTGGTCTCTCTCTGGTCTCTCTCTCTCTGGTCTCTCTCTGGTCTCTCTCTCTCTGGTCTCTCTGGTCTCTCGTTGGCCTCTCTCTGGTCTCTCTCTGGTCTCTCTCTGGCCTCTCTCTGGCCTCTCTCTGGTCTCTCTGGTCTCTCTCTGGCCTCTCTCTGGTCTCTCTGGTCTCTCTCTGGCCTCTCTCTGGTCTCTCTCTCTCTGGTCTCTCTCTGGTCTCTCTCTGGTCTCTCTCTGGCCTCTCTCTGGTCTCTCTCTGGCCTCTCTCTGGTCTCTCTCTCTCTGGTCTCTCTCTGGTCTCTCTCTGGTCTCTCTCTGGCCTCTCTCTGGTCTCTCTCTGGTCTCTCTCTCTCTGGTCTCTTTGTATTTCCTTCTGTATTTTTATCTCATGTAACTTTTTCTTTAGATGAGTATGGTTTCTCTCTTCGCCTGTGGTTCCTGGAGTCTCTCTCTCTCTCTCTCTGCTCTCTCGGGTCTTTCTCTTCTCAGAGCTGCTTCTACAGAACAACTTTAAACATAAACTTCAAATTAATCTTTAATCTGTGTTTGTCTCAGAGCATGAAGCAGATCTGAACCAGAGTTTGGATCAAGAGACTCTGAAGCAGCGAGCGTTTGAGGAGTACTCTCTCATCATGGACTCGCTGGACGCTCAGGTGAAAACAGCCCAGAAATCTGGTCTCTCTCTGGTCTCTCTCTGGTTTCTGCGGTCTTAGTCTGGTCTCTGTTTGGTCTCTCTCTGGTCCCTCACTGGTGTCTTTCTGGTCTCTCTCTGGTCCCTCTGTGGTCTCTGTCTGGTCTCTCTCTGGTCTCTCTCTGACACGGGTCCAAACAACACGCAAACACTTCCCACTGTAGAGTCAGACTGTAAAACCATGGACTGTGTTGTACATAATGTTTCTTCCTGTAGTTCCCGCTCCCACCACTGGATGGCGGTGTCCCTCACGAGAACACAGCCTGCCACGGTTTAAATGACATGTTTATTCTGCTGGAAGTCTATCGTTACAAAGCTACAAAGTTACATATCCGAGCTTTATCCTTAGTGTGTTGGTTCCTCAGGACAAGGAGAGAGTACCTCAGGAGGAGGAGAGAGTACCTCAGGAGGAGGAGAGAGTACCTCAGGAGGAGGAGAGAGTACCTCAGGAGGAGGAGAGCGTTCCTCAGGAGGAGGAGAGAGACTACCTGCTCACAGAACTGTTCAAAGACGACCAGATGTTCCTGGAGTATCTGGACGAACTCTGCGAAGACGACAACTTTGTCCGAACCGTGAGTCTGTGCAGCCCAAAGGGGAAGTGCTCATGGACGAAGTTTTGCTCCATCTCCGGGCTTAGAAGTTTTTACTGTTCTCTTTAGCCCTGCCCTAGTCTACTCTACTCTACTCTACTCTATCCTTCTCTACTCTACCCTTCTCTACTCTACCCTTTTCTACTCTACTCTACTCTACTATACTCTACTCTACCCTACTCTACTCTACTATACTCTACTCTACCCTACCCTAATCTACTCAACTCTACCCTACCCTACTCTACTCTACTCTACCCTACCCTACCCTACTCTACTCTACTCTACTATACTCTACTATACTCTACTCTACCCTACCCTACTCAACTCTACCCTACCCTACTCTACTCTACTCTACCCTACCCTACCCTACTCTACTCTACTCTACTATACTCTACTCTACTATACTCTACCCTACTCTACTCTACTATACTCTACCCTACTCTACCCTACTCTACTCTACTCTACTCTACCCTACCCTACCCTACTCTACTCAACTCTACCCTACCCTACTCTACTCTACTATACCCTACTCTACCCTACTCTACTCTACTCTACTCTACTATACTCTACCCTACTCTACTCTACCCTACCCTACTCTACTCTACCCTACCCTACCCTACCCTACTCTACCCTACCCTACTCTACCCTACCCTACCCTACCCTACCCTACCCTACCCTACCCTACTCTACCCTACCCTACCCTACCCTACTCTACTCTACTCTACTCTACTCTACTCTACTCTACTCTACTCTACTCTACTCTACTCTACTCTACTCTACTCTACTCTACGGCAGCACGGTGGCTGCAAGGCGGCACGGTGGCTGAGTGGATAGCACTCTCGCCTCTCAGCAAGAAGGTCCTGGGTTCGAATCCCGGCCGGACCAGGGCCTTTCTGAGTGGAGTTTGCATGTTCTCCCCGTGTCTGCGTAGGTTTCCTCCGGGTACTCCGGTTTCCCCTACCACTAAAAATATGTACAATAGTTCAGGCATGTGCCTCCTGTTCGGCGACCCGCTCCCATCTCTGTGTGGAGTGAGAGACAAGTGCCCAAAAATGAAGCTCTTCGCGAAAGTTCACTGTGGTAGACCCGGCCGCTGCCGCCAGATCTACAAGCCTGCTCATCCTCTACTCATTACACCAGCAAAACGCCCACATCTAATCCACCAATAACCACCAGGACAGCAAGGACAGCAAGACGCCCACTTTCCCGGCCTTCTGAAGTTTGCAAACTTCTGAAGCCTGCAAGGTGCATGTCGCTGACGCACCTGTTCGCAAATGCATGCGTTGTTCTGGAGGGGTCGCTTTCTGCTCACGTGTTGCTCGTGCGCGTGGCCCGGCTGTCCTCAGTCTGGCTGCTCGTGGTCTGCTCCTCCTTCGCGTCCCTGCACCTGCTATGGTTCGCGTGTCTCCACTGCTTTCCTCCTCTGTGGGCTGATCCGCGGGGCCCCTCCGCGGGGCCCCTCCGCGGTTCTGTGCTGCTCGTTCCTCGTGGTCTGCTGCCGCGCGCAGACGGTCTGGCGGTGCCGTGCGTGTCCCTGCCTCCGATTGGCGGTGCCGCGTTGTCCCGTTGCTTTTCCCAAGTCTCCTGGCATGTGAGTACAGTGTGTGTGTTGACCGCGGACGGATTAATCCCTGAGTCTGGGCTGCAAGCGGCTGGTTTTTGCCCTACGCACTTGACTGCAGGCGTCAGTTTTCGCCCCGTGCTTGGTCTGCAGGCTCCATTTTCACACGTGTTTGAGCTAACTGAGGGGCAATGCATATTAAATGGCATCAATCTCTATTGTCAGGGATATAAGAGGAGCAATGTGCATAATTCAGATTCATGTTCTGCCACTTGCAGTAAAACCACGTTGGAAATATGTGCAAAGACTATCCATCGTGCTCCAGACGGCACACACCAGAACTCTTGCCACGGCGCCATCTTTACAGCATTAATCTCATTACTCGCAAGTCACTATTGTTAAATGGATGTATTTAAATTCGTCTATCTGCAGGAGGAAGGAGGGGCCATGCATTTTGTTGTCAGAATTCGCTACGCAGCAGCCCAGTGTGAGCCTCCTTTAGCACTGTGCGAGAAAAAGACGAGCAGTCCACACAGATTCATTTCACACAAGCAAGGTGCCATGGTTTATTTAGGGCGGGGTTAAATAAGGTCCGGCCGTGACGTCATCAATCAATAAACAAATAATGCATTCAGAGCATAACAGAAAATACAATACAATTAACACCCCCACTTGCTCTCAAATGTGTTAGCTTCCTTCACAACAGGAAATACGGAAACAAAAATACACACTGTCCACACTTTTAACCAAACAAAATGTTAGAGAACTTAAATAGCTTGTGCTGTGATGCTGGTTTTGTCATCACATCTGCCAACATCTCCTCTGTAGGACAATAGTGTAACGTCACTTTACCTTCATTTACAGTTGATCTTACAAAATGATATTTTATGTCAACGTGTTTGCACCTTTGCCTGCTCACTGGGTTTCTAGCTAAAGCAATAGCTCCTTGATTGTCCTCAAAGATTTTTGGTGGTATATCTATGGACATACCAAAACCTTCCAGTAGGTGAGTCAGGTGCAAACATTCCTGGACAGTTGCTGCTAATGCCATATACTCTGCTTCACAAGTAGATAATGCCACAGTCGGCTGCTTTTTGGATTTCCATGAAATAACAGGCCCCTTTTCTTTAAGACATATACAGTAACCTGTAGTGCTGCGTCTATCAAAGGAATCTGCTGCCCAGTCTGCATCACTGTAGGCACATATACACATATGGTCATTGTCATTATCATTTTTACTGTAACAGAGCTCCTTGTCCATTGTCTCTTTCAAATATCTAAGTACATGTTTAGCGGTCACCCATTGCTCCTCTGTGGGGTTTGTAAAGTATTGAGATAACCTGCTTACAACAAAGCTTAGATCTGGTCTTGTACATGTGGCAAGGTAAATCAGGCTCCCTACTGCCTCTCTGTACTTTTTAACATCACTTAAAACATTAGCATCAACAGAATAGTTGAGTTTCTGTTCACATGGTGTTGTACGAGGTTTACAGTCTTGCATGTTAAACCTGACTAATAACTTTTCCACATATTGTCTTTGAGACATCCTTATGCACTCATTTGATTGTTCAAAATCAATACCCAAGAAATATTTGAGTTTGCCCAAATCTTTTCATATTGAACTTGGCTGAAAGCATTTCCTTAACAGTTTTCATTGCCTTTTCATCACTTGTAGCCAAAATTAAGTCATCGACCCAAATTATTATTATGACTTCTTCTTTTACTGTTTTTCTTGTATAAACACAATGATCAGACTCATTTTGGGCAAAGTTATTATCAATCAAATATGAATGCAACATGTGATTCCAATTACGGCCGGATTGTTTCAGTCCGTAAATTGATTTGTCTAATTTGCACACCAACTGTTCATCTGATGTTGATTTGATCTCATATCCCTCTGGCTGCTCAAGATAGAGTTCACAATCTATGGGTGCATGTAGGTAGGCGGTTTTAACGTCCATTTGATGCAAAAGTAAGTTTTCTTGGGCAGCTTTCTGCATTAAAACTCTCACGCTGGTCATATTTGCAGTTGGAGAGAACGTTTCTTCGTAATCCACTCCACGCCTTTGACTATAACCTTTTGCAACATAACGTGCCTTGTACTTGTCCGTACCATCTTCGTTCCTCTTAATGGCGTACACCCACTTTCCCCCCACTGCACACTTGCCTCTGGGTAAGTTGGTCAGGGTGAATGTGTTATTCTCCCTCAATGATAGAATCTCCTCGTCCATGGCTCTGATCCAGCAGTTTGATTCTGGTGAAGTCACCGCTTCCCTGAAAGATTGTGGTACTCCACATGACAGTCTATAACAATAATCAATATTAATTAGCACCTGATCATCACTGTCAAAATCAGAAACATATTCATACAGATAACTCGGCTTCCGTCTGTCTCTGGATGGATATCTCCTACTGCTGGTCTTACTTGTCTCATTCCTTTCAGGGACTAGATCTTCTGGCTCATCCTCCTGGATGTTCTCAGAGGTCCCAATTGGTTTTGATACAGGTCTTGGTTTAGTTCTGGTCGTTTCATCATCGTCGTCAGATGTTAACACTGTTTGGGTTTGCTGCTCCACAGTTTTCTTTAACACAAACTTCAACAATCTGTTCTTTTGGACCTTTTCACTATTAGGATAATAGACCAAGTAAGCTGGGCTATTTTTGTCATATCCAATGAACACTCCTTTTTCACATCTTGTGTCAAGTTTCTTTTTGTCTTGCTTGTAAGCAAAACACACAGAGCCAAATTTTTGCATTTTGGAAACATCTGGTTTGTTCCCCGTCAGCATAAAGTACGGTGTTTGTTTTGTGCGATTATTAAAACACCGGTTTCTGACTACAGCTGCTGTCTGTACAGCATAAGGCCACAATGATTTTGGCAGGTCACTTTCGACGATCATACACCTGGCCATGTCAAATAATGTCCGCCAGTTCCGCTCTGCTGTGCCGTTCTGGTGTGGAGAATACGGCGCAGAGGTCTCATGTCTAATTCTGTTTTGCTTTAATAATGACTGATACTCTTTTGATGTGAACTCAGTCCCATTATCAGATCTGATACATTTAATCTTCCCATAGGGGGCAGTATCAGCTAGAAACTTCTCTGTTGCATTTACTGTATCACTCTTTTGTTTAAGAAAATAAACAAAAACTGCACTGGAAAAATCATCAGTGAATGATAGGGCATATCTGTAGCCCTCTTTGGACATGGGATCTACTGGCCCTGCAAGATCTGTATGTACTAACTGTAACACATCTGTGGCACGTGCATCAGCTTCTCTGCTCCTTGTTTGAACAAACTTTCCCTGGATGCACACTTCACATGGTGGAATAGGCTTCTCCATTTTACCTTTAATAGTCATACCTCTAACCACTTTTGGTAGCTTTTGTACGTCTTCATGATTACAATGTCCAAGTATTTCAT